TTCTCTGCGTTTTTTGGTCACCCTCTAGCAGCTCCTCCCCACCCACGCTTGTCCCTATAGCCCGTAACTTCCACCACTACGTTCCCTTTCTTCTGATGTTGATTTCACATCTGCCCTATAAATAAATCAACAGACATACAATTGCTCTATTTTTGATTGCTAGCATCATCGAAGCTTATCGAGGAGCTCAAAGAGCTCCCAACGCAACAACAAAAGATTCCGAGACGCTACTTAGTCTAGGAGTTTATTAGATTCATACAGAAGTCATGTACTTGTTGGTTATAGGTGAAGATCAGTAATGTCGGGGGAGAGGTAGATATTTCTGAGAAAGACCATTTGGAATAGGATGGTAGAAAGAGCTTTTCTTTGGACTCAAATTTCATAAAACGGATGTGCCTATCCACCCTGATCGCATTAGATTTTGAAATGGAACTGCGACTATCTATGTTTGAAACAAAGACGGAGAGAAGGTAGAGGTCACCTTGGGCTAGGTTTATAGGATCAGTGAGGATCAGCAGTAAATTTTTTTTTCAAAAATTTTTTGCGAAATCTATCTGTAATGATGTGAACGCCTTAGCGTCTTTTCAACCCCGCTGATTGTGATTTCGCAAATCTCAAGGCGATAACTCTCTCAAATACGCTGCAGGACGGAATTATCCCGGGATACCGTACACGGATGCACGCAACGATGCGTACGGATAATACCTGTGAATCCTTCCGGCAGTAGAAGTAATTTCGCTAATAGCAGCCGCTCATCCTTACGCTGCTCATTTGCGGCTCACTTGAGTTCTCAGCCAAGCTGCTGCACGTCGTCACCGGCAGCAGCTTGTGAGCGCAGCAAGCGCACGACGTTATCGTGTCGGATGCTTTTCGCCAGCTTCTCTGGAACGAGGAACAAGTCGGTCTCAAGCCTCGCTGCACTCAAAGTCTTTTCTTAATACTCTGTCTACTACCAAAGATCAGAATGAGCGTCGGTAAGTCGTGTTTTCCGTTTTGTTCGAGAATTTTCTGGAAGAACATGCCAAGTTCGTTTTCGGAAAAGCAGCCTAGGAGCTCATCCGCAGGAATTTTGTTGAATTTGGTAGAGAAGCGCATATAATGAAGGTTTCAGCGTTTTGCCACCTATGAGCAATAATTACCTGTATCATCATAATACACCAGGAGGGGACGGACGGAAGGAGGGGGGGGGGGTAGGGGGAGGAGGGAAAAGCGAGGCAAGGGCAACCGAAATATATTCCAAATGAAGTGCGCGGCGTTAAAAATTCGGAGAAAAAGTAAAAATTCTGCCTTCCACAAATTTCTTCCGAAAAAAATCTGGTTGCCTTTGAGAACTTGCGAGTTTATAACCATGAAATTTAGAAAAATTTGGGGACACGCAAATCTCCAAGGAAAATTGGTATAAATTTTCGAAACCTACAAAAATTCCAGGCAGTTTTGTTCGAAAAACTTTTTGAAATTATTCCAGGTTGAAAGCAAAATCACATGATTATTGAAAAGCAAAAACAAGTCATTTGCACAGTTTTACATCTTATGTAGTTCATTATCAAAAAATCTTGCAAACCTACTCGGGGGGGGGGGTTGGAGTGCTTCCGAAGCACGCTCCTCCATCCACAGGAACTCCAATTTTTCCATTTAGATTTCTGGGTAGAAAATACTATGTTATCTACAACTGGAAAGCAACTTCAAACTCCTAGAAACTATGAGTTTCCAAGATTATCGAAGGATTTGAGCTCACTAAGTGAAAAAGAATTAAAGAAGCGTGAGCGCATTGCCATCTTATGATATCTATTAAGCTCATCCTAGTATAGGCTTCCGGAATTTTCTTAGGAAGATCTTGGGTGATAATTGTTCGTTTCAAGCAGTTCACGAAAATCCAACAACGCGCTCTTCTTATATAACAAAACAATTTTTTGAGAATTACTTATTCGGAAATAAGTAATAAGTTAAGGCCTTACATTTGAATCTGGAACTCTTCGTCTTCTTTCTCATGATTTTTATATATTAGCACTATTACAATTTCATCATATGCCAAAATGCACACTAAATATTAGGTCGTCTTGAAAGTTCTTTCGCACCAAATTCAAAAATTCATAACTTCTGATTTTTCCAACCGATTTGACTGCTTCCATTTTTGTATGAAAGAGTAATTCATGCTCTTTATAATGACATCCTACATGCTTGCTAATGATCATCTGTGCATAGATAGGACCGGCAGAAGAAAATTAGTCAAAATTCGAATTTTCTGTGTAGGGTCATAAAAAATCGGAAACTTGCAACAAAAATCGGAGCAGTCGGTATTGTAGGTTCTTTCACCAGCTCTTTCCAACTGTGCAAAGTTTGCGCTGATTGAGGGTCTCTATAAAAAATTATGATTTTCGAGCAAGCAATAGAAAAGGGCAAATTTGATTTATTTTGGCATTTTTCAGGGAAATCATAACTTTTGACAGAGGCGCTCAATCAGCATAAACTTTGCACTTTAGAAAGAGCTTGTGAAAGAACCTACAATACCGACTGCTCCGATTTTTGTTGCAAGTTTCCGATTTTTTATGACCCTACACAGAAAATCTGAATTTTGACTAATTTTTTTCTGCCGGCCCTATCTATGCAACAGACGATCATTAGCAAGCATCTAGGATGTCATTATAAAGAGCATGAATTACTCTTTCATACAAAAATGGAAGCAGTCAAATCGGTTGGAAAAATCAAAAGTTATGAATTTTTGAATTTGGTGCGAAAAAACTTTCGGGACGACCTAGTATTTGACTATAGAGGACCTGATGTTCAAGTGAATTATGGCATTTTTTGAATTTGAATTCGAAAAAGGATCTCAGAATTCAAAGACGGACTTGCATCCACAGATTTTACTCGAACATTGGAAAAAAAAGTTTAGAAAAATGACACTTCCGGAGAGTTCGGATCTGCTAAGGAAATAGGATTACTGGATCGTATTCCTGAAACCTCATATAATTCGCTGTCAGTGCTATATCTACCGATTTGCCCCTCACCGATTTAGGACTTATCCCTAATTTCTGTTTATCAATTCTCACAATATTTATAGCTTTCCCAGTATAAATAAGCATTCAAAACGGTCATAAGACTGTGTCCTCTGACGTAAGCTTAGGAGCCATTGGTGTCCGTGTGACTATTATCTGCGGCAATGAGCTTAGAGTCGTAGATCTTATATATAAAGCTGAATGTCTGTTTGTCTGTATGTCTGTCTGTCTGTATGTATGTGTGTACGTATGTTCCGAATAGAAAATTCCATTTCTGAACCGATCCGGACCAAACTTGGCACACATATACTTCAGGGCAGGGAGCGTGTCATAGGCTACTTTTCGTTATCGATCGATGTCGATTTTACCGATTTTTTGCAAAATTCGAGCTAGAGGGCTGGGATTTGGCAGAGGGGGGTAATCGAGCATGCTGATCACCCCGAAGGGGGTGATCAGCATGCTCGATTACCCCCCTGTGCAAAATCCTAGCCCCCTAGCTCAAATTTTGCAAAAAATCGGTAAAATCGACATCGATCGATAACGAAAAGTGGGCTGTGACACGCTCCCTGCCCCGAAGTGTATGTGTGCAAAGTTCGGTCCCAATCGGTTCAGAGATAAAAATTTCTATTCGGAACATACGTACACGGGTCTAGCTGGCAGGCCCGGCGGAGCCGGGCAAGCCAGCTAGTATTCTATAATTCCGCATTATCCACAGCTTCGTGACGGTGAGATGATGCTAGAATGTTTTGAAAGAGTTTTTCGTATTCGATTTTATAGGGTAGTTATGATTCTGCGCTTGTCTAAGGCTGTCGACTTTCAACTACTGTGCTTTTCAGGGTTTTCTTTATTGAGAACTTCTATTGTCTCATAATTTACGCTCGACAGAAAAGCACAAATCAGCCCGGATACTTAACTTTTACTCAATGCATTAATTAGAAAAAATTCTATTAATGGGTCCCACAACTTTAGGTGACCTTTCCACAAAAAATTCTCGTAACGACCGTGGCGAAATGTTGGTTTCTAAACTGACCTCCACATTTCTGAAATTCTTCCAGCAAACCGAACGTCTGTTCAAACTCATATGGTAATTACTACACTTAACACGGTCCAAATAAACAGGTACTTCCTTCTTAATCCTAAATTGAAAGCATAATTACTATAGTTTAACACTGTACATATAGGCTACCTTTCCCTCATCTCAGATTGAAAGCACATCTTAAAAATTCAAAAACAGCTTTCAATTTCGTGTTCATCTATGAATGCAACAATTTTTCTGTTGAGCAGGTGTGACATCCATACCTTTCCGAAAAAATTTTTGGGATGTTTTTCATGCTCGCGGGCCTATACCCCCAGAGGTTTTAAAAAAGGGACGTGATGGGGCAACTTGGGGCAACATTTTGGCAAATTTCTCTAAACAAAGTTAATTGTATACAAAACAGCATGTTGCTTTTGGGTTTATTTCCCTGAAAGAGGCTTCCACACAGTCACAATCATTAGTTTCCTTAAAATAGAGCGATTTGCTTGAGCCACCCTCCTACACCCTCCTACACTTAATTTCGCGAAATTATGCCTGCCGTATAAATCCACACTCCGCTAATCAGTTTCCACCCAGTAAACACAACGATTGATTCAATTCAATTCAAAATTCTAGAGTTGAAAGGTCATCCGCTATATCCGGAAGTCTGCAGTTACAGACTTGTTTACCACGATAACGTATAGATCTACCTATGAACGTTGTAGAAACTGAGCTTCTTAGCTCATCAAATCACTTGTGCATTAATGGAATGAGTTTTAGCCTCCATGATCGGATAGGTACGAGATAAAGTGACGCGCGAAAAAATAATCGAGAGGTTATTTGTCAAACTTATTGCCATAACTTCCCGTCTTAACACAACATGCTAAAAAATTCTCGAGGCATTTTCATGTTTTCGGTATCTTGTAACGGTTCAAACGCATTACTACAGAATCTACTGATAATTGATTTTTTCTGTATTCCGAATATTGCAGATGATGTCATCGCTAAGTGCAATACAAAGTCTCGCTGAGCTCCAAGCAAAATTTCGTCCTGAGGCGTTGATGTCATTCGATTCCGATAGCGGCATTGTCGCACCTGTGCGTGATGCCGGCAGTGAATCATCAAGTGAGTCATTTGAATTTTTTCTAGTCATCCAACATGGTTAAGCTGACATTGACGAACTCGCCTAGGAAAAACCATAGACAAATCCTAGATAACAGAGCGACAAGTCAACGCTAGTAAATTAGTGCTGAAACATGTGCCCCTGCCTTAGCCTACATCAAGAATAGCTCGGTGCCAGCGCCGTGCCAGAGCCGCGTCAGTACGCGGACGCGCCGCATATTAATCAATCGATGGCGCTGGCACAACTAACCCTGAACACCTAGCATTCCCAAGCTTGTTGCTGGAGGGAACAATCACATTGATGATATTTTTGTGACACATCACTGATTCAAAATCTGCCCTACTCCATGTTCGTCTTTTACCAGAAACACCTCGTTTACGCAGGGTCCTTTCCGTATCCGCTTTACCCAATCCATGCTTATCGCATTCCGGCGCGATCATTACGGAATTACGCACCTACGCTTAAAAGCAATCAGGATGATTGCTTTACCTAATCCTTAATGCCCAGCGATCTACGCGATTACCCCTACCTGGTTACATTTCCTTAAGACTGTGACTGATAACTGCCCATGATGCTCTACTGCTTAGTCCCATTCCATACAATTAAGCGAGAAGATGTTAACAACCAAGTGTATTCTGGTGATAGCTATGGTATGCGAATTAAGCGAGAAGATGTTAACAACCAAGTGTATTCTGGTGATAGCTATGGTATGCGAATCCCCTATCATAATGTTACCCGTCAAATACTAGGGTACCCCGTAAGCAATGGATCTCTATCACGAATATGAAAGATGTGACAGTACTGAATTTCCTTATTTTGTGAAATAAGTCTTTGGATGTTAGTTTGAAATGGGTCTAACCCCAGTCTCAGATTATTCTGGAGTTTTTTCTCAAGCAAAGTAATAGTTCGAAGCAGAAAGAACGCAAATTCCAGGTCAGTCCTCCATTATCCCACAGGAATTCTCACCATTTGATCCCAATGAACCAGCCATACCGAAGGAAATCAACTACCGTGGTCATACCGTTGTTGGTTTTGACCTTCGCGGAACAGATATGCTATGCTTACCACAGGTACCGTTTGCTTACCGTTTGCACAGTCGTGCTACCCGGTCCACTTTCCTCCATTGGTTGGTGGGTCGCTACCGTAGTCAACGGGTCGCTATTGGCGCTCGCACGGGGAGACTGGACGCTGTTGCGTCGAAGCGAGATAGTTCGGGTTTGGAAGAGAAGCAGACGGTAAGAGAAAGGGACAGAGACACATACAGTGTCCGCAACGGCGTCTTGTCTCTGCGTGCGACGACTGGCCTATAATACATCAGGGAGGGTAGCATGATTTTGGCAGCTGGCCATATACTCAGTCCACAGTGAAAAAATTTGCATTTGCAGGTTTATGAGTTATTTCTCAAGAATATGGTTGGCGGCTTACATACAGTCTATACTAAGCTCAAACGCCTAGAAATAACGCCGATCATTTGTAATGTTGAACAGGTGAGTGAAGTACCGATACGCAGCAACGCTGGTATTCGCGCTAGGACCCCATGTCACATTCTCTAACCATGGTATTGATACAGGTTCGAGCTCTACGCAGCAAAAATGCCATACAACCGGGTGTGAATCGTTGCAAGCTCATAGCAGCCACAGATTTTGATCGCCTCTATGATGACTGTACTAATACTTGGTAAAGACTAGATTGACGACAAGCTGTAGGCAGAAAGCAAATCATTCGACTTACAGCACTCGTCCCGGTCGCCCTCCGAAGCGCGTTTCTGCAGTAGAGGAATGGGCAGCGAAACGTGAGAAGTATGAAGGTATGAACATACTTTTGGCTTTTCCTGCAAAAACTAGCAAAAATAATCCATTTGTAGATCAACATCAGCCGTGCAGCGGCGATGCGGAGCAGTTTGGAGGAGCGCCATGCGCTTCGCCGTTGAATCCATTGTTTCTTGGACAGTTTCTGCCACAGTTCAGCGCTCAACAGCTTCTGGTTCAACACATGATGGCACTCGCGGCAGCACAAAAACAATCAGAGTTGTAGGTTATCGATTCGTTGAGAAATTACCTGTCTCTTCTCGAAGTAACGCTAGGGCCCATCACTGAGGGCGGTCTTTAGCGGAGCAGCAGCATGAAGCGTCTATTTACCTAATTTGCTTAGGGCTGCGTCCAGATTGCCTGTGTGCCAGCACCGTTCCACTATTGTGCTATCACCGTGCTGGATTAAGGTGCGCACCGCATTGATGTCGACGTTCAGCATGACTTTGGCACGGCGCTGACACGGCGCTGGATCGGCGCTGGCACACTGCCGGCACACACCTCATAACAAAAATCCAAATTGTTTTATAGTATAGGCTACTGCCGGGCTAGGTGCCAAGCCTAGGTGTACGAACGCGGTTTCATTAGCCACAGAGCGCATGAGGCGCGAGGTTCACAATGGTGTAGATGCGCACGCACCGCGTTGCGCCCGCTCAACTGATGTTGTGCGCCTTCGTCCGGCAGTAGCTTTCAAATTATGTCTGACTACTGCGCTTGTTTGGTATAGCTTGACTTCACAAAATGGAGCGTGTTTTTCAGTTCTGGTTCTGATATGGGTGTACACACGGATGCTGAAATAGAAGGAGCTCCTCTAAATCTGTCCAAGGCCAATTCCAATTCTGAAACGAGCGATAACGACTCACTGGAAAACATGCGAAAAGAAGGCGATGTTCGTCTAACAGTCGTTATCGCCAGGTTCTCATCCTTTTTTCCTTCTAGATCTCTCCCAATCAATCAATATCCGAACGTGGTGGGTCGAATGGATCGAATAACTCATCATCATCGGATCAATCAAGTTCTGCTACGACGAAGATCATCTCATTAATTGATATGGCTAGCGAGCACTTCAAGCAGCAAATGGAGTCAATACGTAAAGAGAGAGGTTTGTATCAAGACTTATGGTCTCAGAAATTCTTGACTCTAAACGACTTGCTATTACAAATAGGGGCCCGTGGCAGCCAGAGATTTTTTTTTTGTGAGCTGGGATGGATGGGGGAACGGGACAAAAATAATTCGTCCGGATGAAGGACAAAAAATACGAGATGAAGGAAAAAATCCCGGATGAAAGACAAAACTTTTCTCGGATTTTTAGGGAAGAGGACAAAAGATTTCTTGGATGGAGGACAAACATTTTCAGGGGGAGGAGTGCAAAGAAGTTTTCAAGGATGAAGGACAAGAAACTTCCGGATGAAGGAAAAGAATTCCCGGAGGAAGAACAAATTCCGCAGATTTTCAGGGAGCGGGGGGGGGGGGAAGAAAGACTTTTCCCGGATGAAGGACAGAAAAATCTCTGGAAGAGGGACGTCAAAGTTTGCCGGATAAAGGACAACAAAATTCTCGGATGAATGACAAAAATTCTCCGATGAGAACAAAAAAATTTTCCGTTTTTTAGGGAGACAAAAAATTTTTATTCTCTCACCCCTCCAGAAACATTTGTGAAGTGCTTTTCAATATTTTCGTTTATCTAAAACACATAAACTTTCAAAAAAAAAACGCGGCAGTCATGCTCTTGAAAAGTTTTAACTGGGCGAAACTCTAAAGATTTAAAAATTATGTGTTAAAACAGAAAAAGTGACGCGGTTTAGGTTAGATGCATATGGCTCCCGATCATGACCTCAAAAAAAACATGTTTCAGAAGAGGTTGAATTCCTGCGCTGCCAACTCAAAGGATCGCTGATAGATGAAAGTAAGCTGAGAGAACAACTCCAAGCTGAGAAGAAAAAGTCGAGTAAGTTGCACCATCGATGTGTCGATGTCTTTGTTGGAAGGCACCGTCCACCCAAAACGAGGATGATGAGATATTGATGCTGTATGAAAGCGGGGCCCTTAACTAAGCAATCGCCCAAGTTTCATTGCAAAGAATGGATTTCAAAGCGAAAAAACAGCTCCAGAATGTAGAACCGGCCACGCTGGCTCCGCGCATCAACGTGAGCGGCCTGAAGATAACAAGTCCAAACTTGGTCTTTAATGTATCCAGAATTGTCGTAGATGCGCCCTTCAATATGATGACTAATTTTGCGATTTTTCTGTATATCCTGAAGCCCAAAAACGGACTTGTATCTCCAGCCCGCCCACGCTGATGGGCGGGGCCACCGCGGCCGCTTCTTCTGGAGCAATGTTCTCGCTTTGGAATTCATCTTTTGCAGCGAGACTGGGGCGACTGCTTAGTTAGGGGCTCCGCTATTCGATAACATTGAAATTTCATCACTCTCAGTTTGGCTGGACGAGGTGCCTTTGAGTATGAGCTATTGTTACGGGAGTTTTATGGTTTAATAACCACACTTTTCAGACATCTACTTCCGTCGCTATTGCAAAGCTCGAAGGGAAATGATCTTGCTGAAGGAGCAGATCACCGAGACGCGTGGTAGTTCATCAAATTCGAATAACTCGTAAAACTCCTATGCAATACATCTTCTCTACTGATGAGCGCGTGGCCATTCCTGATGACCTCGTACAGTAAAAATAGGAGGTGCCGTGATATAGGGTTGAACTCCGAGTGATCGCTAGAACTTACCTACTTGCAAAATTAATTCTCGTTAACCATGTTTACCGTAAATTTGTTTTTTTATGCTGTACATTGCGGCTTTGAATTTAAAATCGCTCCACAAATTATAGTAGACGTGACAAATAGTTTATAGAACGGATTTAACGTAACCTCAACTGAATTGGCGGCTGGAAGGCGGGGCTTTGTGACCTAATTGAGCCACTCGCGCCTGCGACGCAGTCTGCGTCTCTGTCGCGCGCGTGTTCTCTGATCATCCTAGCCTTAAACTAGGTCACAAAGCCCCGCCTTTCAGGCGCCAATCCAGTTGAATCAAAGGATACTGTGTCAATGCGTACCCTGTTTTCCAATCTGGGAATTGAAATGGACGTCATCGATTAGAAGTCGCACGCAAGACCTTCGCGTTGCTCTTGCGTACTTCGATCGTAAGGGGCTACCTGAATGACACAAACTGTATTCGTTTTGCTGAATCGTCTATTGTGAATAATTGGTGGAAATACGTCCCAATGGCTTTTGCCACCATACCAAACCCTCAACAATACCCGTATTTTGAAAAATCAAAAGACCAAGTTTTACGAAGATTTGCCACTCTAATTAATTTTTGCACTGTATTTACTGTACCACACTTTAAAAATACAAACGTCATTGTTGATACAAATACGTCGACCAGCTTTCTCTGTCCTAATTTGATAACGCAATGATAATGCTATATCAAGTCTGTAGTCGGGTTAGAAGTGTTGATTTTTACTTGTGTATATCTAATTGATCATGCTCACTCCAGTGTTTGAGTAATTCCCTTTTCGTTCATGAATCAATCGTTATTGTGTTAATTTGAAATTTGCAGACCGGTTCTAAGTTGTTAATAAATGGCATTTCTGAACTTTGGTGCATTTCCACTGAACGAACGATAATCATAATGAGCACTTTCCGGATTTTCTAGCTGATGGTAAAAGGGGGAGGGATAAGGTATCGTCCATTCGTTGACCGCACGAACTGGACATCACTGCGGAGCACGCACCGCGAGGTAAAACGCTTTCTCTAGTAAAAATTCACCATTGTACAAATCGTGCTCTCGCAACATTTCAACCGCGCCGCGCATGAATCGCAGCTTTTGAGGAGTCCACGCGGTCAACGAGCGACGATGATTACAGTGAGCATACAAAATTGTCGAAGTGCGAAACGCATACGAGATATGTTTCGGTTTATCGAAGCCAAAAATGATTGTTGCGCAAGGATACTCCGGTAGTTGAAGATGCAATATGCAATTTGACAAGTATACGAGTCGAGTTGTGAAAACGCACGGCCGACAATGCCCAACTCAAGAATGCCATTTGCACTTCCATTTTATACAAAGCAATTTCAAGCATGTTTTGGCAAACTGCCCCAGATCACCAAAGCCCTACACGGCTGGTACGACTCAAGTTAGTTGTCGTACTTGAGAAGAAAGCAAAGGAGATTTCGTTTTTACGGAATGTGGGGTTGCGCCCCAAAAAGAAATGGCACAGAGTACATCGGAATCGACTAGATTGAAAACTGTCCATCTAGACATTTTCACCTGTTAAACAAGTCAAGGGAGAGCTTACATGCTCGGACGCGTCTTACATGCTCTGACGCATAGAGCGTAAGAAATGAGCCGCAAACAAATAAACGCCTTGTTTACAATTAAAACGCAATGTTGTGACACCAGAATTGGCGTGTGCGCCGTGAGCTGACTATGGCCGAAGAATCTATGGAATCTCAGGGGAATGAAGCGGCGTCCATTATCCTGATTTAGCTGAACTTCCAGCTGGTATACTTTTGCGTTAATTCTCTGGTTACATAGTGATGTATCCGGAACGGCGATTGGATGAGCGAGCACAGATGGGCGGGATCCCCCCGACCGGAGGCGTGGTCGGGGTGCTGCCCCCTGTTTCTAGTCTCCCAAAGCGTTTTCTCGCTTCGGAGCGCATTTTTCGATCGCATTTGAACTGTTGCGTTTGTCAGGAGTCGTGCTCTCGCAGTGCGTCAAAATCCCACCGCTTTCAATTTGATGGTGCCTTTGAAGGAAAGTCCCAGCGCCGCGTCCCATCATCATCGTCCCATCATGGTCTCATCAAGGACCTGTCTTGCTTCTTTGATGATCCACGTCCCTAGTTGAGCTAATCGACTGTTGTTGGTTATTTCAATGTTAAAAGCATGCTTATCTACCCCTACGCCAGTTTGGAACCAGGAAAATGCAAAGTGAGTGAATACATTCTTTTTAGCAGAAGCAGCCTACGAACATTCGCCCAGGCATTTTAGGCCCCGGACAGACTTCACGCGATTTGATCGTCGTGACTGAATCGCGACGAGACAACTGTTACAACATCATTCCATGCCGATCAACTCGCATTTCGGTTGTGATACTTTTCCAGCCCGAAATTTTTGAATGTGAAATGAAAATGAATGGAAATGTCGGCGACTGAGTCGCGACGATCAAATCGCGTGAAGTCTGTCCGGGGCCTTAGGCCGGTGATAACAAAAGTTATCAACAAACCTAAAAAACACATAGCCTAAAATCTCACAGATAAGGCCTTCCATCAAATAAGTCCCTCTACGGATAAGTCCAGGCTTATCTGGCAAGATTTTAAGGTAGTTATAATGGAAAGAGAGGACTTCTCTGTGGGGCAGACTTATGTGAAGAGTCTATAGGACGGACTTATCTGACAAGGGAGGGTCACGAAGACGAAGTGGCCGAACTCTATAAGCTGCGTTCCATCAGTGAGAGCTTGGAGCGCTGATTTCAAATCTACTTTTCCTATCTGCAGAGCGCCTTTGGGAAGGAAGTTATGAGCATTTTTTGAAGCGAGAAAACGAACTCATGGTCGGGATAACATTAATCATTGCAGCCTCTCTAGATCTCGAATAAAGCAGCGGCAACTTCAGGTTACTTCATACATAAACTCCTTCTGCCTAATAAATCATTCCATCCTATTTCGGGTGTATGCGCTTCTGAACCGCTTCGCCCTAGCGCTAATTACTCTGCCCGGGCGGCGCTAATTACTTCGCCTTTCTTAAAATCTTCAGAGTTTCCAAATATTTCCGAGCATTCTAAGGCAAGCGAGGCACACGAATAACAATAGTGACGATGTTTGAATTATGAAGACAAAAAGTTGGAACAGTTGCATGTTTTTTGCTGGCCGTTCGTGATTTCTTCGCCCTTCCCACTTTTCAAAACACCGTGAAGTCTGCACGTGTAAGCTGGAGAATAATTTACCTAAACCGCCCACGTATAACATTTTTGAGTTTCATAGGAAACTCGAAATCTCGTTTAATTCTTTTTATCATGAGAATGCCTTTGCAGTCCAATTCAGATGTCTCTAACGACAGCATGGCTCTCGCCTACCCAAGCGCCGCGGCAGCGTCAACCAATCAGAGGCACGCAGTAATTAGGCTGCTGATGCCAGCGGTTCAGAAGGGCCGTCTCCCTCCTATTTCGCCATTTGACGTCTAGAAAGACGTGACGATTGATTATAACCTAGCCATTCATTTTTTCGTTTCAAAAATGCTCATAACTTCTATTCTAAAGGGGCTTGGCAGAATGGGAAACAGATTTGGAATCAGCGCTCCCAGCTCTCACTACCGTATGCAGCTTGGTGATAGGCCAGTTCGATTTCGTGACCTTCCCTTTGATTCAAAAAAGCAGGCTTGTTGTAAGACTTTAAAGTAGATGGAGATCTAGCCAATGACGTTCCAGCAGAAATACTGTATCGGTGGTCAAAGCTTTATAGTAGCTTGCGGCGAAATAGCGCCTGGTAGAGTATGTTATATAGAACACATTAGCTAACCAGCTTTATTAAAAGGAGACCAGCACACGTGGGTGCTGTGGTAGAAATGCTGAGGATAATAGGCGTGGTAGAGTAACATAACAGACTATCACAGCAGGTCATGCTTATGGCATGACCTTTGAGATACTTCGGTAACAGTAAAGATACGGTTGTTAGGAAGTGCCGACAATGTCGGCACAAATATATGTATACAACTAGTATCTGCCCCAATCCCAACCAGGCCAAAATTGGCATGGCGGGAATCCGCGTCGCAAGGGTATTGCGTCACGTTCACGGCTAACTAGTCTGCTCTCTCCTCAATCTCTTCGCTCTCTGCGACAGCGCGCGTATGCAGCGCAAACGCCTAGCGCTACGAGCGCGCAAGTTCAGCCGACAGTCCGGCCTGATCCCGATTGGAACAGACTGTAGCATATCAGTCGCATACCCAATTATGTGCGCAAAGTTTATTTCAAATCCCATAGTTCTTATCACGATTTCAAAGCGAACATAGAGGCTGCTGTATGACGAAGTCGCAATCTATTCGGGCGGGAACGCGGCTTCATTAGCGGCAGAGCGCATGAGGTGGGATTTACAACGGTGAGGATACGCGCGCGCCGTGTTCGCGCACGCTCAAATGATACTGCTTCTGCGCCTTCGTCATGCAATAGCCTTTACAAATTCGTTCAGCAATATATGATACAACTATTACTTCGAGCACTTGGCCGCATGGAGTGACCGTAGATTGCGAAGCATGCGGCGCGTAGCCAAAAGCCTTAGGGACGTTCATACCGCGCGCAAAGGCGGACGAAGCCGGACAATGCCGGACAAAGGCGGACGAAGCCGCACAAAGGCGGACGAAGGCATGTGTGATGTGTGTGTCGAGAGAAACGAGACGAGGCGTGTGTGAGTGTGTGTATGTGTGTGTCGAGAGAAACGAGACGAGACAAGACGCGCCTTCGTCCGCCTTGTGCGCGGTATGAACGATCCCTTACCAGTGCAAAACGCTGATGCACAGTCTGTCCCAATCCTAATCAGGCCAAAAGCATGGTGGAGTCTGCTTCACCAGACACGCCTGCGGCCTGCTTGTCAGCTCTCTCTCCAATCTCTCCGCTCTCTCTGTGACAGTGCGCATATGCGAGCGCGCGAACTCACGCAAGCGGTTCGGTCTGATCCCGACTGGGACAGACTATGACATCAATCTACCAAAATGTATGGTATGCCGTGGTTTGCTTGGAATCTTGATGGATTAGCCATTTATATTCCCACTACATATGCTCCCACTCCGATTACATTTCGACATTGATACTCAGTTTTTTTCTCTCTAGAAGAACTACATCGTCTAAAAGATCTTATCAAGGCACATGTTCGCCCAGAAGTTACTGATTCAAATTGGAATTGTGATTCGCATTCCTCTCCATTGAGCAATGTACATTGTGTCTGTTGACAATAGCCTTGGAACGGCGAACTCACCGATAAGATCAAACATATTGAAGTGCAAGGCCAGTTGCAGCCGAATGAAAACCGCTTTTATTGTTTCTACCGATGTCGTCAAAAGGTTTTGAACAACACGACAGTTGTACGCTCTAAACAGTTTTCGAATGGAGGGGAATCAGATTAGAGACGCATATTCTAATAAAAAATGGTGCGAATCAGGGGATAAAGTTTACTAAAAACCAACAAAAAGTGGAAATATACACTAAGATCGGAATTACCATGTCAGTTGAGGATGAATGCATAAAGGCAGCTTGGATTGGAAACAATAAGAAATGGGAATATCACAGATTGAACATTGAGGTGACATGTCTCTTATTAAATTAGTAAGTAGTTAAATTAATAAATAGCAATATAGAGGTCAACAGCGAAATTAACGACTGGAATGGAAATTGACTATCTTGGATCAACAAATCTCAAACCAATCTCAGTCCCAAACCAATAAAGGAGATGAAGTGAAGACATTTTCAGTGTCAAAAAAAAGCATAAACATGGAGAAATGATATAGTACGAAGTACGAAAGAGTGCGAGACTAAGCGAACTTGGAATCCAAATACTCCTGCGTTAGTTCCTCTGAATCGCGAATTTCGAAATTCTGAAATCGAAAGCTGTTCCAGATGATACTTAATGACAAGATAAAAGATACACTACGACCTTGGTTAGTTCACATTCTTGCACTAGATTGTTTCTGCTACCAGCATACATCATCTGCAGTTCTGGTGAACATCCTAGAAACGATACGCTCAAACAATTCAAGCCTGTTAGCAGAGACTTACCAGGAGGACTGTAGAAAACCAAACATAGTGGATACGAAACTCGTCCGTCACTATGACGTAAAGAGTAACTTATCAGAAGAAATCGCGGTTGTTGATGTGGAAGCTCTTCACGAACATCGTCTAGAGAACAATCCTAAACGAACATACTTGGATACAAAAAAATACCGGAACGACTTTTGATATTTATGCTCGGAACCCCAAATAAAATAAACAAAAAAGACACAAGGGAGGCCATAAATTATACAAAAAAATAAATTGAAGCACCTCCATAGATTCCTCAAGAATCATTTGTTGAGTTTCGCGATCAATCTTCACTGAAGCGAGCAATTAGTGAGACGTGAAATAAGGAAGGGTTATGGAGAAACTTACAAATGAGAACATTCATCGAAGTGCTTTTTGAGAATCGGAACGATTTCAGATTTTCTCGTAGTTCCTCTGGAATCCCGCATATCATCAAAGTTCCACTCTAAATAAGCTCGAAATTTTGAGAATAACTAAAAACCTGAAGAAGTATCTCACCATGATGACTAGACTGATCGCTCTCTGCTACCTAAAAAACATTAGCTAACTTATTCAGTACAAAATCTGTTTCGGAGATATTTGAGGCTAGAAGTCCCCTGATCTCAAGAATAAAATATGAGAGTATTTTATTATTCCTTAAACAACATTTGCTGCAATACATACACGTTTAATCAATCATGACCCGAGATATGGTTAAGCAGTAATTTGCGTGAACTAAGAGAACATCTGCACAAAAATGACTAGAGCACAGCATTCTTTTCATCAGATTATGGATCAATACAGATAATTCAAGGCTAGAAGCGAAGTTCACATAAAGCACAAAGCAAAAGAGAAACATTTCGTGACGGAACCTAACAGCTTATTAGAAGTGACCTCCAAAACATGCTGGTGACACAAGTTATTGAAAACTCCGAGGACATGAAAGCAGTGTGAAACAGCCAGCGTCTATCTCCCTCAAGTATGCAAGCAAATTGAACGGATAATATGCATTTCGGATCTTTCTCTTGGAAACATCCAAACAACAACATCACCTATAACATATTCCACGTAACAAGTCATGTGCGAGCATATCACTTCCCAATTACAGCGGGGAAAACATGAGCTTCCGAATGAGACTGATGAAAGTACAAAGCGCCGTTCAAAAAGGTTTGAACAGTTTGAATGGACAAGGATAGAAAGTTGGGTAAAGAAATACAAAATTCCAATGCGATCAGTGATCAATGAATTACCAGCACATTAAAGTCAAACCTATTGCAAGTGCCTCCATTTGTTGGGGTAGCTGTGGACGGTTGCGTTGCCACGGGTGACATGAGATAGGTATAGCCCATCATACCCATTCCATCTCCAAAGTGTACACTTCCACCATGTATGACAATTTCGCCACGGGCAGCGACAATACAGTATTTTCTAGTTTCCGGAGGACCACCATACTGCACACTTTGTGGTATCCACCTGCAATGAGTTCTACTCGTTCACATACCAAGAAAAGCAGACCGAAACTAACTCAATTCTCTCCAGATCCTGCGTGGGGTCAAAATCGTCTCCCACAGGAATATCAGCAGTAAATGCTACCATTCTCCGAAAGCTGCTATTTCTAGAAGGTAGATTTGGGCTAAGTAATACGTCTGGTCGAGTAGCGTAATATTTCATATCTAGAAGAAACACATCAGTCACTGATAATCAAGGGAATACACAAACAACTACTAACGAAGTTGAGCAATCGTCGTTCGTAATCGTAATTTCAGCTCAGCTACATCAACTTCATCCAATGGATTAGTCTTCTGAGAATCTGCACGAGGATTAACAGTCACTGTGATCGTTACCCCATCCATTGTACGCGGCTTCGTGGCAAGCCTTGCACTGTAACATATTGGCTATGAGGATAATTTTGAGCAAGAACGAACTAACCCTTTGCAATTTTCGGCTTCCAATGTAGACAGGTAACATTTTTCTAGCACACATTTGATACCATCATATTCTATGATTTCGGACAACTAGAACAGAATTCGAAATGTAAACAGATACTCAGACTCAGATATATAGAAACAATGACTTGCCTTGGCACTTCGCTCAGCTTCTCCATGATCATTTTCGCGACAATATCGTCTGACCTGTTCTCGCCTCGACATCTCTGCTTCAAGGATACAACGAACATGCCTGTGAAAGAAAAGCTAAATGTCAGCAATGTGGAAATCGTTCCAAAATTATAGCATTCACACAAAAACAAAATGACAATGAAACAAATGAAAGCTTTTTCGGTCAAAAGAAAAAATCCTCACCAAAACTAAAAACTTTATTGACAATATAGACTTACTTGATGAAGTTAGTGCTTCGCTTCTGGACCCCATCGTAGGTCAGGTTGCAGCGTGAATCCTAAATGAACTTTGAAGGAGCAGAAAAAGACAACCGTTTTCTATCTGTTTCTTTAACTCGACACTACGAAATCTGCTAGTTTTTTCTGTTACCAACACACTGAGTCATTACTATCATGAGACTACCACGTGAGACAATTGGAGACAATGCGGAGTGAAAGAACTGCTCAGAAGAAGCTGATGATGACTGTACCTTGCTTCCTTTTTGTGGCATTCCGAGGGAAATCAATCGGATTAGTCGCTCACACCGCATCACCGCTATTCCACCAAAGTTCTTATTCGAAGGCGGCGGTGACAAGCCGGAAGGAGGCCACCATCGACCAATACCCTTGACAGATCGTATAATCAATACGTTTAATAGTGGGACACATATGGCTAAGTAGAGCGCATAGAGATATATGATAATAAAGTAATAATGATAACCTACAGGTACTAACTTGTATTGCCATAAAACGCCCTCGGGATCTTTGGGATCGAAGATGAAAAGTATGGAAGTGTTTCCTGGCCTGAACAAAGGCACATGAAATGATCACTCAAATATGAACCACGAAAAAAGCGAAAAAAATGTTTTGAACGTATGCCTTGACAGCCTTACCATTTGCAGTCAGAATAAGGTGACAGAAAAGATAGAAAAAAGCAATAATCAGAGTAACTCACAGATCATCTCGCATGTTTTCGCCAGTTGCTAGCAAACATCCTTCGCGTAACACCACAAGCGAGGAAGAGCCCACCATAAAGCTGAACATCTGCCGTTATGAGAAATATGTAAAGAAAAGAAAGATGCGAAAATTACCTGGGTATGGGCGAAGAAGCCAAGTAATGCAAGACCCTAAAAATTTCAAACGATAAAAACAAATAAATTTGTGTCTATGAAATGTGTAAAAAAGAGATATGCATTATTCTCACGTTGGAAAGCCAGGTAATGGTGCATGGAACCAACGCTTCGTCACCAAATCCAGCACAGATACTCGGTAACTCACTTCGCAAGTGGATACAACACCGCCATGTACGATGAAGAGGTCACCATGTATGCATGAAGCATGTCCAGCCAAATTTGGGCCATCATTAGTCGTGACTAACTAAAACACGAAGTTTGTTCCTGAGATGAGCACATGAAGAAAACGGACAATAAATAGGGATCGCTTGTATATACACAATTGATGTAAACTACCTCGAAATGTCTTTTCAGAGCAGCAAAAACGCTTAATAATCTTCTAGGAAAGTGAGCTGTGATTTGCAAGCAGATATTGCGATGTAAATGAAGAAGAAAGGCTGCAAGACAAACAAGAAGCGCAAATGAACAAAGGTGCATGTTGCGTTTTTTGTTGGCCTGCATCATAAGCACGACTAGATTGCTTTTTTAAGCAGAATGAGTCATAAAATAAACATGAGATCGGCATATATCATAAGTATGACTAATGTTTGATTTATATCCAGTAAAGTAAATGTGTATGGAAAAACATAGGAAGCACAATAGCAAATAAGACCGGAAAAAACGTACAATTCTGTAGGCCTTCTTTTCAGTGTTAAAAATATGCATTTCGTTCAAATGCATCGCGCTACCATAACGAGGTAATGGTCGGCAGCCACCATAAATGAGTAATTCATCCTAAAATGAAACAGATAAGACTAATTATCATAAAAAAGGCGATGTTACCTTATAAACCACCATTGAGCATAGATACTTTGGAAGGGGGTATGGAGACGATTTTACAACAACGCGAGACCACTTTAAGGAAGTCTGAACAAACAACGCCATCAGAAAAATTTTAGTGACGTAAAAGCTTCACGATGACCAAACTAGATAGGAAACAAAGTTTCTTACCATGTCTAGTCGCCACAAATCATTGAACGAAGCTGGACCACAAACGTCTCCTTGTAACCTCCAATCTGGGGCTTCACCACCAAATGCATACATAGCACATTCCTTTTCATGATAAGCCATGCTGTGCAATCCACGGGGAGCCATACTGTCCTCGTCATTGCTACTGGCGAACCGGGTCCTACAAAAGAAAAGAGAAATGAAGCTGTTCGCGCTTCACCTCAAAGTGTCGCAGTAAATGGAAAGGATAAAATACGCGTCATACGGAGGATAAAAAGAGTATGCAATGGTCTCACCATTTGAAATCTCGGCGGGCTTGGAATTCTCTGTCGACTTTGCGATATTCATCTTCGCACAAGGACGTGAACAACGGTATTGCCTTAGCTAGATTGCGTAGATCCGGATACCTAAAATGCGTTTAACTTGAAAGTCGAATACAACAGACAAAAAGTAGTACACAAAGCTTCCTCGGAAAGGGGTAAACCATTTCGTACCTCAAAAAGCGCAACAATCGGCGAACGGCTGTTGTTGGCAGGTTTAATATATCAAACGCGTCGTCACCCATTCTGCAAAAGATTGATGGACTATACTATAGTTTCAGAACTAAGCAAAAGCGAGTGATTTAAAGTAGGTCATGCGTCAGCGCATCTATACAAACCGTGAAATGGTATGTTCCGTACTCACCCTACACCGTATTTTACGGCTGCACAGCATCAAAGCTCGAGCGAAGCTGAGGCAGGCGCCATACTTGATCCGCTTGATCCACTTCATCCACTTCACTATCGGTTAGTTCACTGAATCGACCAATGATGAAGCGGATCAAGCGGATCAAGTGGATCAAGCGGATCTAGTATGGCGCGTGCCTGAAATGAACCATGAGATATTACAAGGGTTTTTGGTTAGGAGGTAAGATGTAGGGGTCCCGCTAAGCTTTCTGGTGTGTCTATTGACACAAACGATGTCGAGATTGAAAGCTGATGGGAAGTTGATGCACCAAAAATGGCATTTGCAAAGTGCAGCAGTTTGGAGTTGTAGATCGGTGGGGGACTCTCCCAAAATCGGCGACCTAATGTCCTCCACCCTAGATCGGTGATCTTTGCCATCAAACAAATGTCTAGATATCCTATGACGGGATATTTGACATGCTCTTCCAAATATTGCGCTCTTTCGTTACGTTATTCATTCATCTAAGTCAGACATGCGACGTTGCCACCGCCTTGTTCATGCACTTATTGAACTGAATTATGAACAACATTTTTTCATCATCCTGGTAACCACAAGTCCCCCCCCCCTCTGACCCCTCACACCCCTCGAATGTAGCGAGCCCTAAGCTTTCTGCGATAATTACCAAAAGAAGCTTATCACCTTTCCCTTTCATCCGCACCCACCCTTTGACTCAACTGGATTGGCAGATGGTAGGCGGGCTTTGTGACCCAACTAAGGCTAGAAGACCAGAGCATGCTTGCGAGGGAGACGCAGACTGCGTCGCGGGCGCGAGCGATCGCCTTCCAGGCGCCAATCTCTCTGAATCAATGGGTACCTGAAAGAGGCAAAAAAAGAATACTTTACTTTTCTGTAGCGACAGTAATCCGATGCTGGGAAATTTTGACCAGTGGCTTGCAAACTGAGAACTTGGGAAGAGTAAATTTAGAATAACGCGTTAAATTCATCATGTGGTGGGGTTCTGAGACCCTCTGATTGCAAAAATGGTGTTTACAGTTTCACAAAGCAGTTCAGACAATATCTTGCGTTACTGATTGTCGTAAATGCATCTATTGCGGTATATAGGCGATTCATAGCACGCAAAGAATGCGGACTTATCGGCGTCTCTCTGGCTGTGCGCTCTTTCGTCTTTCTTACCATCTGCTGTCTCTCCCGTGCGCGAACTATCTCGGCCGGAAGCAACGGCGTCCAGTTTTTGCGTATCATGAATAGTGTATACTATGTTAAATTAATGAGAACATATAGTTCATTTCTAAAATCGTGACGACGGATTTTACTGCGGACTTTGCGCCCACAGGAACATAGAACGCTCTACAATAAGGCATCACCTCACATTTAGCTCAGTTACTTCCAGTGTCTGAATATTATCGTACGTAAGCGAAAAAAAACTATTCGGCTGGAGATGAAAACCAAGAAAATGCGATTTTCGGAGGTGGCGTGCATGTCGCGCGCTGTGGCGCCATTGTCACGATTTTTTAAATGCCCTATATTTGCTTCTCAAGTGCAACTCTTCTGCATATTATACCTTAATGTTATATTAATCAAGTGGTAGATGTTTCGTTCTTTATTACGGATTTTAGTTGAAGCCATATCTACGACGAAAAAAAAAGACATTCGCGGAAGCTTTTCAGACAAGAGAATATCAACGATTAAACGTTCGATAAGTTTTTTTTTGAAATGCCCTATCACACCATTGCACCCGGCTTACTAGAGAAGCAGATGTGGTGTGAACTCTATCTAATCTCTGCCAGATTGTAGTTTGCTTCTAACACTGTTGATACTCAAACGCCACTCGCTATCTGTAAGTGTCTTATCAAAGCATACGTCCGTTGCGACTCCATGTCACCATCTCCCTTTCCAATTCTATTCGATTCTTATTGCCTAGATAACACCTTTTTGACATTGTTCTAGAGACTAAAGATAACGTAGGTGTTCGTGTATGATTAATTTGTCCACACATCGTGACATACTGAATTTTTGCTCTTAACTCAAAAGAAATCATCATCGACTCGTATAAATGCGCAATTTACAAATTGCGATCGGCTGTAGCCGGAAATGTACTTTTCCTTTTACCTCACGGCATTTGATTTGCTCGATTTGAAAGATTTCACTTTTCCACTTGCATCGAATTCTTTGTGCACTTCCAGTTAATTTTCCTGTCTACAATTTCTTGCAATTAAATCTTACGCAATGATAAATTTGCTGGAAGAAATTATTTGATTTAGATGGTGGATTATCTCAAAGAACACAACGTACCACAATCGTACCGGTGAGTATGGTTTGTTCTATCTATGAAAACGGAATGTTTATATCTCACACTGTAGGAGGGATATATTTATAGAGTGGGGCTTTTTGAAGGTTAATTCACTTGCTTCTAAAGAAAATCAAACTTTTGAAGTTTCTTCCAACGGAATCGGCTCTAATAAATTTGTACGCAAAACTTTTCGGATCTGTCAGAATTAGACAACCTTTTTAGCACACATTCAGACAGAGCACAAATCTGAGACAGGGCTCGGCACGAGGTGGCTAATTTGAAAAGGAAAAAAATAACGAAGTCCCCTTTGACCCTGGACTATAATCCCTGAAAAATCTCCAAAAAACGAAACATCGCTCAAAAAAAACGTCGCAAATTTTGTGTCTTTTCGGTCGCAAAAACGAAACCCCCTTTGCTCCTTGTCCCAAAAATGATATCCAACTTGCTTATAAGCCACCTGTGCCGAGCCCTGATCTGAGGAAGTTTGTGCTTTTCATATAAGCCTATAAATTAAGAGTTTGAAGTAAACGAAGAGTTTGAGCTAAATGAAAACCATGCTACAAATAAAGCAAAATGCCGTTATTGGGTCTGAATATGTCCAGTTTTCAAGAAGAAAAAACAACTCTGCCACTTACTATAAGATAGGGTACTCCTCCGAAAATAATTGTTTACAAGGCTAATATGAATTTCATAAAACTTCAAAAATTATCTTAATCATTAAGAAGTATGAACAGATTAATTGCACATTTTTGAACTCAAGAATTTTCTTGTGGTATCTTTTTCAATTTTTATGCTCAGTGCTTGTCCTGCTAAGATCTTCTTCGACCCTTGCTCTGTTCTTTCGGTTTCGGTATATCGTTTTCAAACAAAAAGAAATCCTAGAGAGCTCATATCGGTAGAGTTTGCGCACTTTCGCAGTAATATCGCCCAAGCAAGTAAAGGCTATTGCATGACGAAGGCGCAGAAGCGGTATTAGTTGAGCGGGCGCGAACGCGGCACGCGCGTGTCCTCACCGTAGTAATTCCTGCGCCTCATGTGCTCTGCGGCCAATAAAGCCCGCGAGCAGAATATGTGCTGAATTGAAGCACTGCTTGTTCTTGTAAATTTGAGAATACACTGCCGCAAATTAACATTCTCATTCCAGCGACAAAATTCTAAAATGGAATGGATGGGGCTACGCCGACTCATACTTCAAATTGAATCAAGCTGGACATGTGACCATGGCAGGAGACAAGTGGGTTTGTTTCCTAGATGTTTTTTTTTCAATCTAAGTGCATGATTCAATGATTTGTTTGAGGTACGATATGTCCGGCCAAGTAATGCCACATTTCCGACCATGGTTCGAAGCGAATTTAGGCGTTGACGTCGATTATAAAACTCCTAGTCAAAAGATAACGGATCTGCAAATTCCTCGTCCAGTAGAAAATGACGAGATCTACGACGAATTGAAAAAAGCAAATATTTCATTCACGAATGCACCAAGGATGCGACTTATGCGAGGACATGGTCATACGGTATGGGTCATCTCTGTTATTCGGCAAAGTGCAGAAAAACTTAAAAAAAAACAGGAATATGCTCAGAAAAACTATTTTCCATTCAATTTGACAAGACGAAAATTATTATGTATATTTGAAATTGCGAAACTGTCTAGTTCATTTGTATGATCAATTTAGGTGCACGATATAATGCATCTCCGACATGGACGGTTTCCGCGCTTGCCGGATATCGTTGTGTGGCCACGTAGCGAAAGTGATGTACAAAAGGTATGCCTAGATTACCGACGGAAAGAAGAAGCGATCAAAGAAATGGCGAAGACGCTTGACTTTCGAATTATAGTGCCTCTGCGGTGATGACAACATTTGCTCGGAAACAAATGTCATGCTTTCGATGCCGACAACTTGTTTGCGACTACGCAGAAAAATGGCTAAGACGCACTGCGCCATTACTCTTGCTCTCTAGCTTCATATTTTTCTTGAGCTTCAAACTTTAGATTTTGTAACTTTATGCACTTCATCGACTCATTGAAAATCATAATTGAATTAAAGTCGTCAATCTGCTTTGCAAAAAAAATTTTGTACAAATACAGTTAAGTTAGCTAAAGTTCACAATTCTTTGGTCAAAGTAAAGTCGAAATAATTGCTCTTTTTAGCTCAAACCAGATTAAAAGATTCTATCTTTCTTTGTTACCACCCCCCTCCTCCCTCCACCATCATCCCGCTTCCCCCTCCACAAAAATATGGGATCGCGCAGTCAGGCGGTTTCTTCATAACGTCGGTGATTCGGCGAATTTGATGCTAACAGAAACTTGTTTCATTTTGATGTTAATTACATGAGCTATCACTTCTAATCAACTGACATATCCCCTTAATGATTGTTTTACAGATTATTGAGTTAGCAATGAGTACCAACTGTGCAATCATCCCAATTGGAGGCGGAACTTCGGTATCCAATGCGCTTGAATGTCCTGACTATGAGAAACGAGCAGTGATCTCTATGGATATGGCTTTGATGGACAAGATCATATGGATCGACAAGCAGAATCTCACTTGTAGAGCACAGGTGGGTCCATTTACTTCATCCGCTTCTTAAGTGAAAAACATAGATATAAGGAATTGCGAAAAAATTCGCAACGCAAGTTGTACAGTAATCGATTCTCTTCTCTTTCTGACTTAATTTTGTAGAAAGAAAGTTCTAGAAGAGTATATTGGCTTTTAGGCTGGCATTATCGGACAATCACTTGAGCGTCAGCTCAACGAGAAGGGCTACACTTGTGGTCATGAACCCGATTCAATTGAGTTCTCAACACTAGGAGGTTGGGTCTCAACAAGAGCAAGTGGAATGAAGAAAAATAAGTAGGTTTGAACAAAGAAGAACCTTTGGGGATTAGTTCTCACATACTCAGATAAATCACCGGAACTTCCGCAGGACAAGCCAAATTTGCAGAAGTTCCGCAGGATTTTGTTCATTATTGCAAGAATGAAAAAGTTGAAAACCAAAACTTCCGCAGAACCTTCTTCAAAATCCTGCAGAAATTCTGAAAAATGCCAGAGGTTCGGTGTTCTCTTTTGCTGTTCGCATTCTTCGAAACTTCCGCAGGTAACCCGGCAGAACTTCTGCAAGCGCTCTGCGGAAGTTCCGGTCATTTGTCTGAGTAGTTCCAAAAAAATGAACACTTTTTGGAAGGGTCAAAATCGGGCTTCTCTCTTCTCCCTCCTCTATATCTTAACATATTTACCAAACTCTGTGGAATCCTTTATAATTTTTTTCGCCTACGAAGAAAGTCCAGTACTTGCTCTACATCAAGTATGTGCAAAAAATTTTGTCAGTAGATAATTTCTGCTCTTATAAATCCATAGGAGTAGAATCTTAGTTAGTTATCATGATTATTGCTTTCCTTTCAGGTACGGCAATATAGAAGACCTTCTTGTACATGTTAATTTTGCAACCCCAAAAGGAATGATCCACAAACAGTGCCAGGTTTGTGATTTTTTCTCAACCTCGTCAAGTACACTATCATTTTGTTTGAAATTTTTTTGGTTGCTTTCATAATTGCCGCAATTCAGGTACCTCGCATTTCCAGTGGTCCCGATCTCCACCATGTTATCTTGGGATCCGAAGGCACCCTTGGTGTCGTTACGGAGGCAAGGAAGTTTCTCTTGCAAACTTTGAGATACATTTTGTCTCAGAAACAAAGTCCTTTATATTGTATTCAACTGAATTTTTCGGTGGCTGCTAGTTTTGAATTCAAACCCAAACCATGGGTGCGGTTTTCCACCACCATCTATAGATTCGAAACAATTTTATAGAGATGCAAAACTTATATGAACCATTTTCTTCTAACAACATATTTTTGCAGGTCACCATCAAAATCTTCCCATTGCCTGAAGTGAAGCGACACGGTAGCCTTGTGTTCCCTGATTTTGAGCATGGTGTGGAATTTTTCAGGGAAGTCGCTAGGCAGGTAAGTATCTGTTTTGTATTTGCATTTCTTTAAAGTGAATAGAGTCGGGGATCGGCTCCTAGAAAATGGGTCGCGAGATCTTTATGGTCTACGGGAGTTGTAAAATTGTGCAAGTGATTCTTTTCGCTTGATTGATTGACAATAATCTCTTGACTAACTTCCATGTTCCATTTCCTTTGACTTGGCATTGCTGTAACTTGTCAATTACGCTGAATAATTGAATAATATGGCACCACAACAAACCTTGTATGGCACTACATAATCGACAAGTTGCAAAATTTTCGTTATAAAAATCAGAATCTGCACAAATTTTCGTTATAAAAATTAGAATCTGCATAGCAGAAATTTCTTTGAGGGCGTATCTACCGCTATGCCTTCTTTTTATAGGCAGCGAAAATCTCGAAATACATCGATCAATCTCACTAATTTTTTGAACTTTCTTCATTTGCTTGTCCCATCCGAAAAAGAATGACATTTTGCTGGCTTTTACGTCAGGGAGGGGGGCGAGATTCGTTGTCGACCTAAGCGTAGGGGTTTATTGGAACATTCTCTGCTGATGAATAGAGAATCCAAGACATCTTTTAGGCGCCGCCTATCATGTTCAAGTCTCATGAGCCAGCGTAGCGCACCAATAACTTAAATAGTTTTGCTCGGTGCAAACACGGCTGAGTGGTCTAGTGGTATGATTCTCGCTTAGGGTGCGAGAGGTCCCGGGATCGATCCCCGGCTCAGCCCGAATTTTGCGCGCATTACTTTGTGAAGAGCGAAGTCTAACTAGCATTTATTATTGATAAGTGCGATGCCTAATCAACATCCAACTATATTTTAGCGCATCCAACCAGCTTCCCTGAGACTTGTGGACAACGAACAGTTCATAATGGGACAAGCCCTCAAGATCCAAGCTAAATCATATTGGGAGTCGTTAAAAAGTACAGTCAGCCGAATGTACGTAACCAAATGGAAAGGATTTCATGTAAGTAATCCTGCCCAGGCTGTCGAACTCTTAATAAATTATTATTAGATAGATGAAATGTGCGCAGCAACAATCGTTTTCGAAGGAACGGCGGAAGAAGTGGACAATGAAGAACGTCGACTCTACGCTTTAGCTGAACAATATAAAGGCATTGTAAGCTCTTTTCAGAGATTATTTTTCATCTTAGGGTGAAAAAAACTAAAGGAATCAATTTTTAGGTAGGCGGTGAAGAAAATGGAAAGTACGGATATCGACTAACGTTTGCAATAGCCTATCTACGAGTGAGTCAAAAAATCCGCTGTACAGCCAGTGTTATGGAATTTTTAGGATCTTGGTATGGAATATGGTGTATTAGGAGAGTCGTTTGAGACTTCTGTGCCGTGGGACAAGGTTAGACTATTATAATAGTATAATAGTATGATACAAGTGCAAGTTTCCCTTTTTCGGTTTTGAATTTGTGCCGCAATGTGAAACAGTTGATCAAACGACAAGCCAAAGCATTAGGAGTGCAATATCCCGTATTGTCAAGTTGTCGGTAAGTTCCTAATTGCTTATTGTGAGTGTTCGAATTCAACGCTTGCTGTTCAATTTCGTTAAATTACATTTTTTTCTACTACCTTACAACCAAGTTCTTGTTCTAATATATTAGGTCGTCCCGAAAGTTTTGTCGGTTTTTTCAAACCACTATAAAACCACGCACAATAAACACCTGAATGAGTTTCAACATGCACTCGATGCAGCTTTTTCTTCTCTATCTTATGGATATATTCTCGAGCCAAAATCTTGTATGCTTTTTTCGATATTTGTTGAAATTCTCCATCCGTCAAATTCATCTGCTAAAAGTTAATCTAATTTTTAAAAATTCCATTCTAATGTTTTCAAAATGTTTAAGTATGATTCTAATGGAGCAATTCTTGGACTACAAGATTGTGTGTTTAGATTCTCCGAATCTGCTGTTGCTAGCTTGAAAAAAATTATTTCTTAAGAGGTCTCGATTTTTGGCAAAGTTATGAAACATTCAACTGCAGCAAATACACGGAAGTCTTCAAATTCTGCAAATTGAAAAATGATTCTTATTAAACATTATTTATGCAACATGACCAAGTTTGATTTTCCTTGAGAAAGCAGCTTTTTGGAATTTTCGATACTTTTACGTGGTAAACGTAATCAAAAAGTCGCGGTTTTTATTAAATAATTAATTATAACGGACTCGGTAAACGTGGCCCATGCAATATAAAATAAACTGAATGTAGCCAAAGGTTTGCTCTACATAACAATTACCGCTCTTTGAAATCATCAGGATAAAAATTTTCAAAATTCATGAAAGATTTGGCGTTACTGCCAAGCTGCTCGAAAAGCCATGGCGATAACATTGCAAAGACAAGGTAGATCAGAAAGCAAGTATAGCTGCAAGAAAGAGTATAAAAACCTGAACCAAATGGTACCTAGCTTGCCCTGGATTAATGTTCTGTGAGTTTCAGTGATAGATGAAAAAAACCGACAAAACTTTCGGGACAACCTAATATTTACGGCTAAGTTTTCCTTTGGCAAATTTTTTTTAGAATCCTTTTGCGAATAGTTTCACGTTCACTTGTCAAGAACCGGAAATGTAGGGGGGGGGGGGGAGGAGGGACAGGAATGGAGGTGAAAAGAAGAATTTTAGTTGTGCGCTTTGTCATACAAATGCTCCGCAATTTTTTTCGGAAAAATCAAACCTATGATTTTAGAAGGTGTCAATTATACGAAGCTAATTCGCAAAATTAATTTAATCTTATCATTTGAAGCCAAAAGTTATCCTACAGTATAATTCGTGTAGGCTTATCTTTTGACTATTATATTTTGGCGGTTGGTTTGTGATTGACTGCCCTATTTTATTTTATTCAAAATTTTTTAAATTATTAAATTTATTGAATTTATTAATTTATTCAAAACTTTTTATTCTCTTGGGGTTTCTTACAAAAGAGCAAAAAAAAACACCAAATAATAAATCAACCGCCGTAATAGTTATCATGTAGTTTGACTCCAACCTTTGGAATTGAATTATAAAAGTGTGACGATTGGGTTTGCAATTGACTGCTCTATGTTTACAATTATCAGTCTTGCATTAGTATAATTCATGGACAAGGTACCCATGTCCCCATTTTTTGCCAGCAAAAACGATAGAATCTGGCTTTTGCTAGCCCTTGATACCCATGTTTGCTCTCTTTATTTTTTCAGCACACAGTCCGATTTTCCCCTGAACTTCCTTGTTGTAGAGTAACGCAAATATATGACGCTGGAGCATGTGTATACTTCTACTTCGGATTCAATTCTCGTGGACTTGACAACGGCTTGGAAGTGTACGACAAGATCGAGGTACTCTTAGCAAACCTATAGCTCTGCATTTTGTTTCCTGAACCATTTTCTTTTCTTAAAAAATGATAAGAATTTACTAATTTCAGACAGCTGCTCGTGATGAGATCATCGCTTGTGGAGGCAGTATTTCGCATCACCATGGCGTTGGAAAGCTGAGGAAGCAGTGGATGCTTACTTCACAGGGAGCTGTTGGAATTTCTTTGTTGAAAGCTATAAAAGTAAGCATAATCTTGACCAAGGCTGAATGCCATCAATAATTGATTTTTTTAGGCGGAACTTGATCCTGCAAATATATTTGCCAATGCTAATCTGATCGACATCTTGGGATCACCGCATAGCAAACTTTAAAACTTGGTAATATAAAGATAGATTCCCAAAATGGTTGTCTGATTTACTGACCAAAATGAGTTTGTATCATTATAAACTTACTGTAGATTTTTCTTCTGTTGGCTTTTCTATTTTTTCATCCGACATAATTAATAAATTCTGGAGGTTATTTGTCGGCAAATATCATTAAATTAATACATTAAAGGCAATGTCCAGGCTAGATCTAAGCCATTCCGATGTACTTAGCCTGAATGTAGGCCGCAGGAGAGGGTCATCTGCGTTGGCCTGGTCCTTTAATGTTGCCTCTGAATGTAGAAAATACACCTGGAACCCATGAAAGTGCTATGAAGCCATGCCCACCTTATCAAACGCTCCGCCTACCCAAGCCAGGGCCCGGCACAGATCGTCTGGAAGCAGGCTGGACTTCGTTTTTGAAGCAAACAGCAAAGGGGATATCGTTTTTGACAAGTCGAAACCGAGCACCAAGAATAAGCGCTATTTAGTCGAACACAAGCTTTTCGGATAGGTCATCACACGATTGACATGCTCTATTGTGCATGGCGATAAGTGCGCGCGATTTGAAAGCAAGGCTGAAATGAACAAATTGCTTGTTTACAGCGCACACAGAAGCATATGACACCAAAATTGGACTGTTTGTATAGAAAATTTTTGCGAAAGGATTATGTTAAAAGTTTCGAAAACTTATGTGAAGTAATACCTTTTCCAAAATTAGATCGTCTCCAGACGGCCACCAGACGATCTGAGATCGTCTGGAGCATATATTTTCGTCACTTCACATAAGTTTCGGATCTATTCAGCATGGACGGATTCCCCGGTCAAAAATCTATCCCTGAGCATGAAGACATTTTCATATCATTGCCTTTCCTTTGTTTTTCGCCTTCATTTCTTTTCGCTTTGTTGAATATCGCGCTCTAATGCCAAAGTCTTGTGCATGCGTAGTATTCAACTCCAATTTGGATTTTCACTCTTATCTTACGTCTTTTCTTTCAGACTAGTAAATCTTTCTTGTTTTGATCTTCTCCTAAGCAGCTAGGTCAAAGGGGACTTCGTAAAACTTCCGAAATTCAGGGGAGAATTCGTTTTCGGAAACTCTAGAAATCGACTCGTGCCGGGCCCTAACCCAAGCACTGGATATGTGTCGCGGATTCGCGACCTTCAAAGGAAGCCGCCGCCGCGCTGCAAAAGGGTCTCGAAACGCTGTCCTCGCGCTGCTCCCGTCTTCCCACCGCTATCTGCCGCAGCTTTCAAAGTCGTCAATGTTGTTGGTGAGCGGTTGGGTCCCAGTTTCGTCTTCACTCAGTCGATCGATGCAGGGCCGTCCCCCAACTCACGCGTTCATCTACATTCACACGCCATGGAGGACAGGCACAATTCTTCAGACTAGGTAACCTCGTGAGCGCTCGAGCCTGGCACATGCCGGCGACACTGCCACGGAGGTTTCCGATATTGCCGCCCCCTAGGTTAACATTGGCGGTTGTGCTCCACCCTTGTGTCTGAGGATAGGGAATTGTTGTGGATAAATGGTGGGCATTTTGCATGTGTGATTTGTATGATGCGGTGAGCCAGCTCGGCTGCGGCTCCGAAGATATCTTGTGTCATCATGTCTATGCGTATCTTATAATCACGCATAGTGTGATAGAACAGTAAGAAGGCTGGCACGACGCGGTAGTGCCTTGGTTATAAGTACCGTGCCCCAACTGTCGATAGTTGGGAGAGTATGTGTCGAGTCGCAGGTGTCTGAACCGCTAGGTAGGCTGGTGGCAAGGGCCCCTATGTGTGCATGACGTGGTATAGTGGCAGGCGCAAGTAGCATTCTCACAGGTAACGTCACCACACTCTACACACCCTTTCCCGGATGGGGCCCTGACAGCTACCGCCGATGCAAGAGAGCTCCAGTACCACTGACGTGGGGAGCTGGGGGCCCAATCCGCGACAAAATGGTCTGCGCTTTCAGGATAAAGCTCCCAGAAATTGAGATTTTTGGGAATTCTGCATATTTTGCTCTTTCATTTGTAACCAGGGCCACGGAAAGACCTCAGAGTGACAAAAACATGGAAGATGAAATTTTGGACGGGTTTGCCTCTGAATAGTACGACCATCGTACATCATCAATGACATGTTTTGAAAGCCAACAATATCTCACTAATGGAATATGCTTTGACTTGTTCCCACTGAATTAAATGAACATTTTTCAAGAATCTTAAAACTATTTAGAAAGCTTCCTACAAAAAACCCCTTTTCTGATTGCTCCGTTGACGCATGCTTGCTTTACTCACTGTTACGAATCAGTTGTTTGGAACTGTCCATTTCCAAAAATACAGAAGAAACAGCTTTATTGGTGTTGATCACATAAGAGTCTTGCAAAGAAAGTCTCCGTAAATCTAACGCAGAACAGCCAATAGTTTTGGGACCTCTCTTCTTAGCTCTTTTTTGGATTTCCTACCAAGATGCGAAAACTTCTCTCTGAGCCTAAAATATCAAATTTGATCTTCGCTGACGATTTACAACTCTTTTTAGCGTATATACCTCATTTTGGCTGCCTTCCCAGCATTCTTTAAATCCGATGGCGTTGTGACTCCAACCAGATTGAGACATTCGAGAAACACCTAGGCTCTCTTGGAAGAATCTGACGCTTGAAATTCAATTTTTACCTGATTTACAAACTTCCTGCTCAATTTTGAAAGCCTGGAACTGGTCTCCTGGTACCGCTCTAACTTTCTATATGAGACTGGACTCTCTTCCAGAAGTCTCGTAAAAATGATATAGAACTGCAAAACCTCGAATTCCTCAGATACTTTCTCCGGCTGGTGACCGGGCGATGACCGGCTGAGGCAACACCTCAATTCCGGGCGAGCCGGCCGCCGGCCGCCCGCCAGCCGGTGTTTGCACGCAAACGGCGCGGACGCCAGCCGGCTTTCCAGCGCAGCGGATTATTGGGGCACGACCCGCCAGGTTTAGTTTCGTTGACTATATTATTATTCTGGTCATATAGTGTTGTACAAAAATCTCTTATAATATTTTATTCGATATCTACAAGCGGGACAACAGAGAAGACACGAATTATGTTGAACATATGTACAACATACAACAAGTGTAAACACAATATAAAGAACATATTGTATTACATATGGTGCATTCTCCAAAACTGTTCCCATCGGAACTTCAACGTGGCTGTCTTTCGATCATTTCAACAGTCAGCTTCGGATAAGCGCCTTATTTGCTGGAGTCAACGCGTTGAAATGATCGAAAGACAGGCACGTTGATGGCTTATATGGGAACAATTCTGGGATGCACGACACAAACAGTGAGCAAATCCGCATGTAGACTTGAGCTTAGAAACTGAAGCTAGAAGAAACGACTCCGCTCCTAAGATTCGTGACACGTATCTCACAAAAAAGTAAGAAGTCAGCCGCGTGTACCTGCAAATAAAGATAATAGGGATCTTATGAAGATGAGAGCCAACTGCAGTAGGTTACATTCATTACAAGTTCCAACTCTAAAGAGGAAGATTAAGCAAGAAACAAATTGCTCACCTGTTGCAGTATGCATGGACAACACCGATGAACAGACTATTTATTTCCATATGTATCCAGTTATTTTCCCAGCCATCAATAAATAACCAACCACCAAGTTGTTAGAGCACTTATTATATAGACAGAATGTTCTCCGGAGCAGACAAATAAGCAGATAATCCAAGCTCAACCACAACAGAAACTCCATCATTAGCAGTCTCAAGCATTTCAACTTGTGAACTAACGCACTCCAATCTGAAAAATGTTTGAGGATATGCTGGTCGATAAAGAAATGTGAAACATGTACCTATGAGGGTCCTCCTTTTTCGTGGGGATGGAAGCAGACCAAATGATCAAATAACAAAGGGAAATCACGTGAAAACACTAGTAAACTTTTTCGAGCACAAACAATATGACAGTTTAGTGACGACATGGAAGCTTTCCTAGTCTGCTGAAACTGAAAACAAAGATGAGCGATGGAACATGACAATACACGAACAGCATGTAAAGAAAGACACAGTACCACAAAAATAATCACGAAAAAACAAGAATCAAAAGGTCTTGTAAGGCGCGTAGTGATGATGAAATCGCATGCTCACTAGTGAATCTGACGGTATTCATGATTTTGTGCACCTTCGCGCGCTTTTGCGGACGCGACCGGAAGCCAGCCGGTGGTAGTTTCTAGCCCGCTCCTCGGCCGGTTTTAGGCTCCGCCCCAAAACATGGCGCGGCCCTCAGCCGGAAGGCCGTCGTCGCCCGGTCACCAGCCGGAGAAAGTATCTGAGTCAATGTATGCATAGTTTGTGCGATTTCGGTCTCCACGAAACTTGGAGTGTTGCCAGATATCGAATTTACTAAAAGTAAACCTCAAGTGTGCAGTGCTCATAATTGCAAGCTGTTGCAAAAAATCAACTGCCTTTCGAAATTTGCTCGCAGACACTGCCCCGTTCCACTGTACCAACCACGCCCACATCAGTGGGCGTCACTCCTATCCCGCCCATCCATCGATGGTCAGCCCTGTGCTCGGCCATGACCGTAATGCAACGACAAAAAATGCTGACCTGTGCTTCATCCTCTACTCCAAGCGTGCTGACTTGCGACATTAAAGTCTTGAATTCTTTCAATTCTGAGACAGTAAGTGAGAATACACTCGTGAAGGCCTTCATGATTGGACATCTGGATAGCAAATCGTCGATATTTACTTCTGTAATGAAAAAATTTCCAAGTCCAATTCTCTTATTGTCAGAAATTCGGTAAATGGCCCAGAACAAATGTTTCCGAATTTTCTTTGGGAAGAAAAGTGGCTTGCCTGAGTCGGCTTTGACGATAACAGCCAGTACGTTCAGAAGAAAGAAAAACAGGCGAGACATTCCAATGATGCCGCTCAATGGGTAGAGTGAAGAATGAATGAACCCTTCGGCTTTGGCCATACTTTGCCCGTGTTGCCGGTGTTGAAAGTGTTGAAAGTGTTGAAAGTGTTGAAAGTGTTGAAAGTGTTGCCAGTGTTGAAAGTGTTGAAAGTGTTGCCGGTGTTGAAAGTGTTGAATGGAGATCATCATTCTAGCAGTTTCATTCTTTCTCGAACGATCTCACCGGCTGGTGAATACGTTGGAAATGGAATTGGGGAATGAGAAATGAAACTGAAATGAGAAGGGGAATGTTTTCGCATGCAAAAGATCCTCAAACAAACTTTTTGGAAAGTGGACGGCTTGTCTGGAATAGGCAATCTCCAATATTTGGGAAAGCTGAGGTCTGGGTAGTAATGTGTTTTAGTTCGAATCCTGCCGCGCTTGCGATTAGTGAGTAAAGGACCTAAGTGAGGTCTGCAGCGTTTTCCTATTCCACACAAGCCGTCCACTTTTCAAAAAGTTTGTTTGAGGATCTTTTGCATGCGAAAACATTCCCCATCTCATTTCAGTTTCATTTCTCATTCCCCAATTCCATTTCCAACGTATTCACCAGCCGGTGAGATCGTTCGAGAAAGAATGAAACTGCTAGACTGATGATCTCCGTTCAACACTTTCAACACCGGCAACACTTTCAACACTTTCAACACTGGCAACACTTTCAACACCGGCAACACTTTCAACACCGGCAACACGGGCGAAGTATGGCCAAAGCCTTCAAATTACTGCATTGTTTGTAATACAATTGATGTGATATCGAAAACATGATGGGATATATGGTTGGCTTGAAAGATTTTCAAAACCTTGAACTTGAGAGGCAGTCTTAGGGCCGCCACTAACATCCCGCTGGGGAGGGAATCGCAGCTTAAAAGATTCATAACCTGAAGCTCCAGATACCTGGATTTCACGCTGTCTACCTATCCGTAAGTACTTCCAACATCCTTCACTATGAACATATTAAACAGAAGCGAGAAGCTGTACAAGCCGCATTTTCCAGCTAGGATGCACGCGGGACGACCGTCTGTTCTTAAAAGTAACTTTTCTTTTTTCGAAGTCAGTAAAAACATTCCAAAATTGTGCTGTTCGTCTAGCCCAACAGTGCCAGTCATGTTTCTGGTAAGAACAAATGATATTTCGAAGTCATGAAATTTGCGATGAACCGCAGCTCGAAAAATGGGGTTTATCGAAAATTTCTCAGGAACTACAGGGTGTTTGAAAAGTTCGTGTCCTCAAGTACTTCCAGTTCAAATTTTGACGCGCTTTTTGTTCTATTGTGCTCATTAGGCCTAGAAAACATTAATTCAGTGAAACCAGCTTTCCTTTTGGTTTTTTTAGTTTTTTTAAAATTAGATTTAAACACATCAATATATTAGGTTGGTAAGAAAGTTCTCGGACATTTTCAGAAAAGATCTGCTATTTCTCAAAACCTAATCTTATACATCAGATTGGGGTACCATTCGATAGAGCAAAGCAAGCTCTACAAGATGGTATGCAAATGTTCGCACCAGCTTCCACCCACCGTAAGTTTGCACCCAAAATCTGAGTTGTACCGAAATTCAAAAAATCGCGAAAAATTCATATCTTTGTTCAAACAAATCCTACGGATCTCCAACTTGCTCATAAAAATTGCGGACCACATCAGACACTCATATGCACCGTTCCTGTGATTTCCCCTCATCTGGAAATCGAGAAAATGGAAATTTTCATGCTTTTATAGAAACGAAGCTGTGCTGTTTCCACCTATGTAATTGAATAGTACAAGCCCTTAGAAGTATAACCGTAAATTTTCAGCCTACTACAGGCTCCAGCTTCCGAAAATTACCGAATTGAGCGCTCCTCACTCGGGTATTCCATGCTAAAATCAATATTGTTCGACAACTAGGGCTTACGGAAAGCTGAAAATTTACGGTTATACTTCTAAGGGCTTGTACTATTCAATTACATAGGTGCAAACAGCACAGCTTCGTTTCTATAAAAGCATGAAAATTTTCGTTTTCTCGATTTCCAGATGAGGAAAAATTACAGGAACGGTGCATATGAGTGTCTGATGTGGTCCGCAATTTTTATGAGCAAGTTGGAGATCCGTAGGATTTGTTTGAACAAACATATGAATTTTTCGCGATTTTTTGAATTTCGGTACAACTCAGATTTTGGGTGCAAACTTACGGTGGGTGGAAGCTGGTGCGAACTTTTGCAAACCATCTTGTAGAGCTTGCTTTGCTCTATCGAATGGTACCCCAATCTGTTATATATGCATTAGGTTTCGAGAAATAGCAGATCTTTTCTGAAAATGTCCGAAAACTTTCTTACCAACCTAATAGCTTTCCAAACCACTTTCCTTGAAACGCTTGTTACAAAGAAGGAAACATGACTAACAGAAAACTACGTGTACATTCTGAAAGCTCTTTCTTTAAGGTTTCTTACATTTGATTTTGATTTTCGTAGAAGTAAGTTCATTTTTGAAATACCGTGCCTTGAAATAAAGAGATCAAGTTCCAGGATTTTTTCGTCAACAAAGCACAGCACCGAAATTTTTTTTATTTTATCTTTAAAACCTTCACAAGCGTGCAAAATTTTTGAAAACAAATACAACGAAGGCTAGAGAGTTGCACTTGTTTTCAAATACAAATACATGTTGAAATAAGACCTCAAAATTTTTTTAGACTAAAAAAATTTCAACGCAAACTGGTGCCGCGACTGTCTGCTGTGATTCAGCACATGAAAAAATCTTCGTTAGCAAGCTACTGAAAACTTTTGTTATACGAAGAAAGTGTAACTCTAGGACTATTTGTGGTAAAAAGACCAAAAGCTGCTTTTCTTTCTCGGGGTTGAAAGAAAAGAACCAATCAGGTAACGCACTCCCCAAGGAAGCTGAAAAAATTGTCTACTTCGAAATTTTTTAGGGTATCTTGAGGCAAAAAATATTTTTCTTTCTTGATTCAGTGGTTTCTAGGTTTGGCGAACACACATATAGTGTGGACCCCGGCCAGGTTCCCATAGGTACTTCCGCAGCGCGCACGCAGCGCGCGCCCTTCTCAATGCCTCTCGCCTCGCTCATGAGCAGTAGAGCATATTTATGCTCGCAAAGAAGAAAAATGTAAAGTGGAAACCTCTAGATTCACTTCGAAAGAGACGTATGCAAGAAAGAAACGCAGGCAACCCTCATGAGTACCTCAAATTCAATCAATGAATGCCTATTTCGAACATGTACTGATGGATAGGTTGTAATAAGTGTACGTAAAGAAATTAAAGAACAACAGCATTCTCAAAACATTTCTCTTCGTAGACTTAGAAACTAGAGTGGTCAACGATTTCAAAAAAGTGGACATTTTGGTAAACAAACGCCTATTGGCTTCTCGGAAAGCTCAATTTTGACTTGAAACACTGTCTACACCTTACACATCTAACCGAAAGGGACTCTTATTTTATACAAGAAGCTTTTGAAAGAATATCATCTTAATGTCCAATCAAATCTGAATTTTTCATAGAAAAAAGGGAAAACACAAGACTATTACTACAGACTGAAGCTCTTAGGTCTATTAGAGCACGTGAAATCTCGTCACCGGTGATCGCGAATTGTTGATACCTAAAATAGAGAGAATATAGTACACCAAAAACAAAAAAAGGAGAGGAAGGAGGATTTCCATCAGAAGCTAGGACAGGAGACGCGCTGAAGGCGTGCGTTGCGGGTGCGTCGCGCAGGTACCTATGGGAAGCTGTCCCGGGTCCACACTATAGCAAAAATCGAGTTAGCATTCGCAGCTGAAGTGCTCAAGGACACGAACTTTTCAAACACCCTGTATATAGGATATAGGATATCTCAGGAACTTATTTGTTCTCATCTCTATATATATAAAACTCAAAAATTGTCCGTTTGGAGGGTATGTAAGTTATAGAAACGCGCAACGCTCAACTGATTAGGCTGAAAGTTTGCACACAGATGTTTTCGGCCCGGAGACGGTTTTAACACATTGACGACCAGGGCGTTTTACGGACCAGTCAACATTTTTTAGGTAAAATCACGCACAATTCCATCCACAGTATATCTACAGTAACTTTGGAATGCTGGCAAAAATAGTAGAGGTTGCGTTCAGATCCAGCGCAAAAGAAAACACCCGGAGTGGGTTTAACACAAAATAGTAGCCATTTCAAAGATACACATGGTACGTCAAACTTTGACACACCCTGTGTGTCAAGCGGTCGTCAATGTGTTAAGCTACTTTTTGCGGCGATTCCGTGGGTCCTTCTATTGATTTACTGACTTCCTTACGTTTTTCAAAGGAATTGAAGGGTTATCATGTTCAATCGAGAATTTTGCCTTATTTATGTAAAGGAGTTCGGTGAAGCTTATTTTCACCTTAGGATCACGAGGATGCGGTTTTGAAGCAGATGTTCCAGAGTAAATTATCCATTACATATAAAGGGGGGGGGCTCGCAGTGCAGGAGAACAGTGGCACGGTCTGGACCGGGAAAGCCAACTAGTCAGCAATATGCCTTGCACTATTGGGATAGATGATCGGTACAACTTTGGAGTGTTTTTATTAAGAGATCGATCAGAGTTTGCCAGTGTTGCTTGTGTTGAAAGTGTTGAAAGTGTTGCCGGTGTTGAAAGTGTTGGATGTGGAAATCATCAGTCTTGCAGTTTCATTCCTCCTCGAGCGATCTCACCAGCTGGTGAGTACTTTTGAGATGGAAATGGGAAGTAAGAAATGAAAGTCAATAAATTGGGAAATGCTTGCGCATGCAAAAGATCCTCATACAATATTTATGGAAAGAAGAGGACTTGTTTTGCATAGGCAATCTCCAACATTTGAGATGGCTGCTAAAGTCTGACGAGAATGCGTGTTAATCATCGAATCCGGCGCTTCTGTGATTAGTGAGCAAAGGACCTATGCGGAGGGGGGTCTTGCAGCCTTCTCGAATGTGGAAAATTGCTTCGAACAAGTCCTTCATTTTCCAAAAAGTTCGTATGAGGAGCTTTTGCGAAAGCATTTCCTATTTCTTTCAGTATCACTCCTCATTTC